ACTTTACATTTGTTTCCTTATATCAGTGTCCCTTCTACCTTTACTCTGCTTGGAGGGTATGAAGTTGACATGTCTATGAGAAGTGTTCTACTGATCTAGTGAGAGTCCATTCTAATTTTTCAAGATGCGGTGGGCTTAAAATGTTTGTATCTTCTCTACATAATGTTTTCATCAATTAAAGGCCTCTAACAGAGTTCTACAGTCTCTCCCCATGAGTTTTGTTCTCCTGCTGTTTTCTTGAATGCATGCAGCTCTGAAGAGGGAGCTGAAGGGATGTTCCTTTCAAATGGAAAGGGTGTCATTTCCATTTGGTGCAGACAAACTGCCCAATTGCTTGCTTCTCAAAGCAAATAGTAAACTGAGCATGTTCTACCCCACAGCTGTCCTACCTCTGCCTATGTGTGGTGGCAAGATAGTATAAGGAGAAATTCAACTGCTGGTGCAATGAGCTGCATTAAAACCCATGCTCACAAACCAAAGCAGCCTGCCTTGTGTGGTTGAGGGCAGTTGGCAGTGTGTTCCAGTTTTGGTAGGTTGGATGTATAAGGGTTATGGTCATCTCAGGATCATTTACAGCAGAACCAGGTGCTAGCTGCTAACCTGCTTTTTCATCTCTAACTATGAATGTAATCTTTAGTCACCGTTGTGACTTTTCCAGTAATGTGGATTGAGCTGGGTACATAAGAGCTCAAGCAAGAAAATAGTTGTAGCCTTGGGTTTGTTTTGTGTGTGTGTGTATTTGCTTTAATTTTATAACAAGTTATTCAGGTTGCTCCTCAGGTGGAAGCTAGCGAGTCCTCTTGCTCTTGCATGTGCTGGGTTTGTCCACTGTCTTGTCTGAGAGTCACCTATGACCTGGGGAGAGGGCTGTGATTGTGGATTAGAGCAGCAGCAAGGAGGCACTTCTGTAAATGACCTCTGGATCTGAAAAACCAGTCCAGTGACAAACACTGTTGAGCTCCCTGTGGATATTGCCAGCATCTAAGTCAGAGTGATGCTTCTGCAGATGCTTCTCTCACCTGGCTGTGAAGCTGTCTTGTTCTTTGCTGTTGGCTGACGCTATCTGTACTCTCCCTTCTCTTCCCACAGGTGGATGCAGTGCGGGTGTATGTGAACAGCAGCTCTGAGAACCTCCAATATCCTGTCCTGTTTGTAGTTCGCCAGCAGAAAGGAGTGCTGTCATGGCAGGTCCCACTAATTTTTCGAGGCCTGTAAGTCCTGGAATCCCTTCCTGGTAACACTTGTCTGCCAGCTGTAACCATTGTCAGCCTTTCTCAAGTGCTAGATCTTTCTGTTGGGTAGATTGCAGGGCTTGGTTGCAAAGCATGCTTGCTTGCTGTCAGCTGAATGTGGGAAGACCAGGGTTCGGTAGGTAACCTCTTACTTGGCAGCCTGCTCTTACCTCTTAGTATCTCAAATACGTACAGAGAGTACTAGGAGGGTTGGCTGCTTGGCATCTGCCTGTCACTACTTGGTGAATGTCCCACATGGTGGTGTTGGCATTTCCACTGTTGCTGATGATGTGTGCAAGTCAAGCTCTTGAAAGAGCACCCTAACTGCTGTGTGTTGGTGGCTTGGGGGAATAAGGGCTCCTTTCTGTTTCTCACTCCAGGTACACCTAAGCCTGGGAAGTGCTGTTGTTTTGGGTGTATTTTTGTTGTGAAAGTGATGCTGCCGTTTATCTTTGGCAATCTGAGCTAGTTAGGCTGAAAGTACTGAGACTGCAGGCATCTTAGACCATCTGAGATGTGAAGCTTCATCCTGTGAGCAAACTCCTGATGCGAGGCAGCAGATACCCTGCAGTGTCTTGCCTGATGCCAGGAGTGGTTACAGCAGGAGCTGTTCTGGGCTGTCACTGCTCTCTCTGCCTCCAGCGAACGGCAGATGTGCGAGGTCTGCAGATGGCACAGGCAGCCTCTTGGGAAGTGAAGTGCTGGGGATGGCCAGTCCCTTGTGCAGACCACAAGAGGCAACAGAGGTGGAGTTTTATCTCTGAATAAAAGACTGAATGGTATTGGCCTTTCAGATGAGCGTTTCAGTTATGCAAGCAGGGGAAAAAATGTGTCATTCTTAGAACTGCTGAATGATTTTTAACTGCTCTTTCTTTTCTATCCAACTTTTCCTTCCCTCTTTCCACTGGCTGTTGTAGCTATCAGAGGACCTACAACTACCAAGAAGTGAGTCGGACCCTCTGTCCCTCTGAGCCAACACCTGAGACAGACCCCTCTGACCAGATTGTATTTGTGGACGTCGCTTCCATGGCACCATTTAATATTACATATGAGCTGCTAGTCACCAGACTTGAGAACTTCCAACTTGAGTAAGCTGGGATGTGAGAACAAAAATGTATCTTCATATACCTGTTATACTGGGATTTGGGTTATCTGCCTACTCTTCCCTTCTTTTCCTTCCCAGAAAAAGAAGTTTGGTTTTTATTTTGCTTAATCTGAACATATTTTGTGTGAATTCCAGCTCTGAAAGTTTTGGACTTCAACATGCTGACTTGTCTTTTCTAGGACCAACAAAGCCTTTAACTTCACTGCCAGCCCTTCCCAGCCCCAGGTAAGGAGGAGTCCTGTGTGGCATGACTTTTGTGTCTTACCACATCCAAATGGTTGATGATGAGATTCTTTGTTAGAGATAGCAAAAACCTTATAGGACTAGGTTGTTTCCCTCTTAGGATGCAGGGAAACTTCCTTGCTGTTGAATTTTCTGTGGATATGGTGAAGAGGTAGCAGTGCCTCAGCCCTTCCAGGAGCACATTTGGGTCCTCTTGCAAAGCAGATAGGTGAACTAAAAACCACGACCAGAGAAAATGAATGGTATCTGCAGTTCAGGAAGTCCCAGAAAGGTACTGAAATCCAGAGGCTGCTGGTCTGCTCCACTTCATGGGAAGTGAGATGGTGTGCACCAGTGTCTTATTCAAGGCAGCACTGGTTCAGTTGCCTAGGTGTTGCTTGCCAAGATGCAGTCTGTACTGAAGAAAAATAAATACATGAATTGAGCTGTAAAGGTGCAGCAGAACCCAGACTGCTGATCCTTGCTCCGGGCTGCAAGTCAAGCTGTGAGGTGATAAATGAAATGCCTGATAACTCTGGTTATTAGTTCAGAAGAGAGTGGACATGTACAGCACATCCAGCTGAACAGCCTTATTTAGAGCCCTGCAGATATTACCTGTCCTCTCTTGAGTGAAAACCCTGTTGGCAGTAACTATAGTGATACATGAGCTGGTAGAGCTGGGAAAGTATGTAATTTACCAGGCTGTCTGGTGCTCCATTTTCGTTGTTGCTGTCACTGTTAGTAACACCACATAATTCTAGATTTCCTATTACCAGGCATCCCAACTAATCTTTTTTGATGTCAAATGTCTTAAGATGGTTTGCAGATACATGCAGTATTTCATAGTCTAGAAGCATAGGGAATGATGGTGGGTCTTTATAAACCTTCATTACTTTAAGATCTTATAATTTTAATGTAGAGTGTTTAGGACCTCGTGTGGAATTAACTTTGTGACTTTGATCAGTTTTTTGTCACAATTAATAATATGAGGTTGGCATCTTTTCATTGGGATTGTTTAGTCTGGAGAAGAGGAGGCTGAGGGGAGACCTTCCTCCTCTCTACAGCTACTTGAAAGGAGGTTGTAGTGAAGTGGGGGTTGGTCTCTTCTCCCAGGTTACTAGCAATAGAATGAGAGGAAATGGACTCAAGTTGTGCCAGGGGAGGTTTAGATTGGATACTAGGAAGAATTTCTTTACTGGAAGAGTGTTGAGGCATTGGAACAGGCTGCCCAGGGAGTCAAAATCCCTGGAGGCATTAAAAAAAGTGTTGATGTGGCACTTGGGGACATGGTTTAATGGTCACGGTAGTGTTGAGGGATGGTCGGACTTGATGATCTTGGAGGCCTTTTCCAACCTTAGTGATTCTAGGAATTATAGACCAGATGTAAAGAGTAAAAGATGAGTGCTTCTTAATTGGTATAATGCTGAGATTTTTGTAAATCAAAGTATTAAGTAGTCTGCAGGAGGAAAGGTTAAAAAGGCAATTCAAAATCTAGATGGGTGTTGGAATAGCCCTAAGACTGGAAAAAGACAAAAACAACAGCTGAGGGAGTTGAGGGAGTTATTGTCTGGCACCCAGCTCATGCCTGAGGGCAGAGGAAGAAATTAGATATGCTTGTGTAGGTCAAGAGTGTTGTCTGGATGTGTTCATACCACTCGCAGTCTGTGCAGCAGAGAACTGTACATCTCAATGCCCCTTAGGTTAATTCTGTCCTTTGGTAAAAGCATGACTTAAAAAAATAGTATAGAAAGGCCCTCATGGAAGACTTCTTCCAGGACCTAAAGCTTTCCAAGTGTAGTGCACCTGGGAGACCAAGGAGCTCAGGCTGCCAGTGTCCTTGTTTGGTAGAGATAAAATGTACTCTGACAAAGAAACCAGCTTGGTGAGTTTTCAGTTTGTAAGGACTTGGGGTTGGAGCCAGCGCTGCCTCAGGAGTGAAGGGACCTTGCTAGGAGGGGGTGATGGGAATAAATGCTTTAGCAGAAAAACCTGGGCAAACCTGTAAAAAGCCTGAGTGATTCCTTGCTTATCCCTGCCCTTCCAGCTGGGGCCTCTACTTCTTGAGAATGGGTTGGGGGAAGGGAAATAAAACCCAGCTGCTTCTTGCTCAGCATTACGGTTTATGTGATGTAAAGGGAGCTTGCCAGCTGGGAGTGTCTCATGTTACAGTTTTGGGGTAGAGTGGCAGCAGAGATTGTCAGGTGACCATAAGGAAGGGAAGAAGGTGGCTGGTGATGGTCCTCAGCCTTGTGTCCCCTCTGAGGTGGGGTGAGGTGCCTATTAGCCCCTTGCCAGTAGCTGTGACTGTGAGCCTGAGATCTTAGGGTCTGGGCTCCAAGTGGGACAGTGGGAGCTCTTGCAACAAGCCTGCTGAGACAGGCACAGAAGCTCTACTTCTCCAGCAGCTGGCTGGTGTAGTACATCATAATTTTACTGGAAAAATAGGCAAATAATGATGTTGCCTGGGACATCTTTTGCCCGAAGAGGAAATGTAGGAATATTGGCAGATGTTAGTCTGTCCTGATTTATTTTCAGAGCTGTAGCTGAATTATTTTCAAAGCTGAAGTGAGAACCCCCATTATCCTTTGCACTCAAAACCTAAATACTGCAACTAATATCAGACATTTATTTACAAAACTCTTGACAAAGATTCAACCCTTTGATCTAATACTTTTCACAGTATGTCTTTGACATAACACATCTGAGATGAAACTCCATATCTTCTGTATGTAAAATACAGCCAGGAGTATGGAAGCATCTGGATATTGTTTATAGCAACATAAAATGGAGTAAGGTATAACATCAAGTCACTTTAGCTTGATCAGGTGGAAAAAAAAAGCTTAAGGGGAACAAGCTATGTCTTTCATGTTGAAGATATCTGTGTCTAATGGCATGCTGTGCAAGGAGGAGAGTTGTCTATGTATTTAATCTCTTCTTCTGTAGTGTAAGGTCCTAATATTTAAAATTTGATTTTTTGTGAAGCCATCCACATGCAACCCCAAAGCCCAGCTTGGGCTGTGGAGGCACCTTAGGGAGGCTCTGAAGCTACTTGGCAGGGGTGATTTCTGTACCATAACTCTCAGCACTCTGCTTTCTCCTCAGTATTTTCTGTACAAATTTCCTCAGGATGTTGATTCAGTCATCATTAAAGTGGTGTCTGATGCGGTCTACCCATGCTCGGTTGTCTCCGTCCAGGATATCGTGGTAAGTCTGAGCAGAGAAGGGTAAGGAGCTGCCTGCTGAAGCTCTGCATCCTGCCGGGAGGGGTCTATGCCTCAACAGAGAAGCCCTAGGAAGGGCTTCACCATAGTGTGGTGGTGAAGGGAGCCCTGAAAGAGGAATGGAAATAGTGTGGGAAGGAGGCAGAGACAGAGATGCCAAGTTCAAACAGCTCATACAGAAATTTTTGTTGCCAGTAGCTGAACATGCTGTTCCTCTCCAGCATGTCCATAGGGCATTTGTTCCCTCGTGAAGTTTAATACCCTGCTGCCCTGTGACATGGGTATGTCTTTCCAGGGAATGGTGTCGGATGGGATTCTGGTGGCTGATGGAGGGAACAGTGCCATTCCCCAGACTCTCCCCTGGCTCAAGGCAGCATGGGGAGCTTCTGACTTCCAGACATGAAGTCTCCTTTCCAATTTGATTTCCTCTCTATGCAATTATTTACCGCCTTTCCTGGGAAGGGGGGAACAGCTGTTCCCTGCCATGGAGGTTGGCAGCTGGGAAATAGCCATATATTTATCCTCCTTTCCCACCTCCCTGGATGATGCAGGGACCTGCAGTGCGGGAGCACCAAGATGGTGACAGAGGTGTGAGATACCTTGGCTGCTGGCTCTGAAGCCCTGGCCATTGCCTTTAATGCTTGGGGTGAGGAGAGAAATGGATAACACCAACTCCTGCCCACACCCCTGTGTTTGAATGGTAGAAGGGCAGGAGGGAGAACTGTGACAGGTGATTCTCAACCTATCACGTAGTAAGAGTAGTGGGAAGGTACAATGAGGGCAAGCTCTTGGCATACAGTACAGACTGCAAAGCGTGTGTCACAACTAGTGTGCAGCTGAGTGTATGCACTGCCCTGTGGGAGTGGTGGAGTGGTCAACATGGCTGAATCTTCTTCTGAGATTAAACTGCAGCCCTGTTGTGAGAATGCTGAGATTAGGCCCCAACTGGTGTCTTCAGAGCAATTTTTGTAACTTCTGTATGGGTCCTGGGTTTGTTCTTTGTCACCCCTGGCAGGGCCTTTTCCTGCTGTTCTGCACAGTCTGTTCTCCTGATGGCTTCCTGCAAAATTAGTTTGGGTTTTGTCCCTGGCTTAACTCTTGGTTATGTTTTAGTGCCCTGTGTATGACCTGGACCATAATGTGGAGTTCAATGGTGTTTACCAGTCTATGACCAAGCAGGCAGCCATAACGGTGCAGGTGAGATGCTGGTTTTTGTCCCAGTGCTGCTGTTTGTTTGTGGGTTGTGTTTTTTTTAAGTGGCTTATCCTATGCATTACTTGTTTTCTTGATAAAAGTAGAAGTGATGTTACCTTTACTAGAAAACCTTGCTTAGGTAGGTCTGTCATGTCTTAGGTTCTGAGGCTGTAGATCAGAGTGGCTGCAGCCAGGTGTCTTCTTTTTGAACCTTGGCTCTTCTGCCACTGAGTGGTGGTACCAGGGCCTTTATGAGAAGCAAAGCTTAGGTAGATGGTTTGCCCAAGTTAAAGTAAAAACATAAATGCATTAGTATTAGTTTCTTTGTACTAGGGCACTGCAAACTGGTGAACTCAGCTTATTGTCAGCAAGGATGAGAGGAGCATCCCCAGAAGCTAGGTTCTGTCCAGAACAGGCAGGTCCCTGTAAAGGTGATGCCTGTGTAGCAACTAAAACCTGATCCCAGGCCTTTTGGAGCACTGCCTCTGCTTTGCACTGGAGGGAGAGGCTCCTTCATGTCCCATGGATTCTGTCTTCTTCCATCCTCCTGTGTGCAGAGAAAAGACTTCCCGGGTGAGCAGTTCTTTGTTGTGTTCGTCATCAAGCCTGAGGATTATGCCTGTGGAGGTTCTGTGCCTTCCTCCATTCATGGTGAGTTGTGCTGGGAGGTGGTGGGTTCGGTTGCTGCATTGGGCTGATGTAGCAGCAAGAGTCCTTGGGGAACCTTCCTGTGGGATGATGCAGGATGGTCACATGGCTCTGCCTTATCCAAATAGCTGTGAGGAAGAGTGAAGTACAAATTTGTCAGGTAGGTTAGGTGTCTTGATCAATACAGGAGGTGGCTGGCTAGTACGGTGCCTGGCTTGCTGGGGTTGTGTGCTCTTCAGAGGAGTCACTGAAGTCTTGGGAGTTACTGAGGCAAAGCTGCTTACAGCTTTTTGGCTGTCTTGGTTTTGTCCTGCTGTGTCATCCCCTGTCCCCTCTGTGTTATCCTCCTGCCTGTATGGAGGCCCAGATGGCTGTTTCTGCAGAAAGCATCTTCTTCCATTGCTATCTTGGAATTTGACAGCCCTGGGCCTGGGGGAACAGGAGAAGTTAGTAATCTGAGGAGGCTAATTTTACAAGAGACTTGTTCTAGCACCTTTCCCAATCAGGAAACAGTGTCCACTTCCTGGGCAGTGGCTAAAGCAAAGCCTCCACCATTCATGTGGTGGCTGTAACTGGAGTGGGGACGTTCCTATCCTCAGAGCTGTATGACTGTCTCTGTAGGAGAAGCAATACTGCAACCAACAGATATGCTGGGCTCTCCCAACAGTCCCTCACCCTTTCAACCTTTTTCCCCCCCTCCCCCATTTCCCCCCTTAAAAAGAGTTATCTTCTGGGTGTCCTCCTCATATCTTAGCACATTTAGGGTGTGCTAAGCCCTACTGAAACACATGGCATCCTGCACAGAAGAGTTTTGCCAGCAGAGTTTTAGGCAAAAGCAAAAATGGTGTCCCAGTATCTGCAGTGGTAGAAACTGTCCTTTGGGGACTACATGAGTAGGAGACAAGCTGCCTTTGGGATTCAGGCATCCAGACTTGAGCAATGTGTGGAAGGCTCAAGCAGGGATTTCTAGTCTGGAAAACAGGCTGTGGATAGGGAGAGGCAGGGAAAAGTGGAAAAGACTCTATATAAGTCTGAGGAATATTTAGAACACAACTGTACACAGATTACAGTGAAAATCCAGACCCTGGTGATTTTGCAAGTGCAGAGATCTAAGATCGGGGCCAGAGATCACTAAAGTTTGATTGCTTTTATATTTGCTCTACACTTTGCATCTCACAGGGAACGTCAACCGTACCTGGAACCTGCAGCGGACGAAGAACCTTCAAGTGACAATTGTGCCGTCTATTAAAAGTCAGTGTCTTTGGGCAGGGCAATGCAGCTTCACAGGGGGACTTGGCACTTGTGGATAGAAGGGTATGGCTGGACTGGCAGCCCTCTGATGGGATGGTGCAGACAAGCACCAGCAAAAGACTCAAAACCAGTTGGTGCTGTGTAGCACAGGGTGGTCTCATGGGCACACCAGCTAGCACCGGGGGTGGAGAAATGAAGGGAGACGTTGCAACAGGTTTTGGAAATGCCTTTTGAAGAAAGCAAATGGGTTTTGAAATGCTGTTTGGGGCTGGGTGTTGTCACCAGGTGGTGGTGGGAAGAGCAGGGCAGAAATGTTGGCTCTGAGAAGGGGCTGTTCTTGCTCTGTGAGCTAACAGATGTCTTCTCTTTCTTCAGAGTCTGTTTATGTCCAGGCCATGTTCTTCAGCTTCCTGAGTTTCCTCTCCTTTTATCTGGGCTCAGTGGTTGTTGCTTTTGTGCACTACATCAGGTGAGTCAAGGGGTTTTACAAGAACAGCCTTTCTGTTTCTCCTCATCCTCACATGCCTCACTCTGCAGTATATTTTGAGGTAAGTGGAGCAGCCAGAGAAGCTCATGACTACTCTGTAGGCTCCTGCTGACCGTCAGCCAGAAAACCTTTCTTCCTCTACTGTGGGGAACATGACAATGATGAAAACATAAGGCTCTGGCCTCTAGCTTTTGTGGTGCCCCATCACTCAGTTTTCTTACCTGAGGACACTGAGTGGCAGGTGGAAGTTGTGATGGAGCTGGTCTGGGATATGGGGTGCCAGAGCATTGGGGAATCAAGGTACTTCCCAAAGTGCTGGACCAAGTACTGCAATAAGTGGCAGTGGCCTAAATAAGGCCTTGGAGTCTCAAGAGTGCTCCTTTCCTTTCTGACCTACCTCCCTTGCCCCAGACCTTGGTTCCTGGGCTTGTGCTGGGGAGAGTATCTGCATCTGAGGTGAATTTAGGCATGGCTACCATGATGGATTATTCTAGGGTGGAAAAAAAAAAGGGGTGCAAGGGGCAAGCAAAACTCTTCCTAGCTGTGCTATGGTGGAGTTTGTTGGGATCAGTCACTGCTATGACTGCCTGTGTAGGTAGTGACAATGCTTAAGCAAATCCTTTGTCCAAATCATGGAGGCTTGAGAGGATGGAGGCCCCTTCAACACTCTTCCCACCTTGGGCAAAGGTTGGTGTGAGAAGAGCCATATAAAACTTCCATCAAATAGCAGGTTGGTTTTGTGGAAACGTTTGTCAGCCAGCTCCTTGCACCACATGTGACAGTTTTCAGCTGCTTCAGAAGAGAGAATCTTAAAAGTTTGGTGCTCTGGAACAAAACAATTTCAAGATGGGGCCATGGCTTAACTTCAGGACACATGAATGGAACATTTCATTGGAACAATTCAACAAAGTTACTTAAGTGCACGTGTGCTCTTTGTTGCTGTTATTTTTAATTTGTTGTGGCTATATGGTTTGTCCTTGTCCTCCCCTGCGCAGCACCTGCATTGGGAGAGGTGGTATTGGCTTCTTAAACATTGTGCTGATGTGCACCTCTAGCTCCTGCTGCCCTTTCAGAAGATTCTTATATGCTCAGGTCTCCTGATTGGGGGAGTTGGGTTTGGGAAGGTGGTCTGAGAGTCTCTCCCAACATGCTGAGCAGTATAGGATGGGATGGCCATGTAACGGATAGTCCTGCCTCTGATGGATATGTTCAGAGTTAAAAAAAAACAAAACAAAACAAAAAAACAAACCTCTGTTGCTCTGGAAATCAAAAAAGGTGGACAGAAAGCAGTCTACCATGTCTAGTACAAACCATATTTCTAGTTTGTTGTTTGCTTTTTTGTTTCTTTTGTAATTTATTTTTGTTAGGTTTGTGTTTTAGAGCTTGAACTGTATTTAACTACTGGTGTCCTAGATAATCCTGCCATGGTTGGCAGGTGATGGGTGATGTTGACTATCTCATGAATGCTACCTGTTCTTTTTCAGGGTTCGGAGGAAGGCTTTAGCTGGGAGGTTGAGTCCTGAGGATGGTAAGGTCTCTTTTTTTGTTGTGTGACAGCTTTATGTGAACAACACGGGTCTTGGGCAATCAAGGGCCAGGCTGTCGGTCAAGTAAATTCTATCCCTTCAAGCCTTCTTCCCTGTACATGCACATGGTGAAAGATGCTAAAGCTTCCTCTCTACCCTCACAAGAGAGAACATTTGAAGGAGGCTACTCTGAACCTGGTCCTAACCCCTACCCTGAAGAGATGGTTCTTAGAGGGGTGGAGGAAGGGCAAGCCTTGACTAGACCTGGCTACAGTCTCATGTTCCTGGTGCCAGGTCTGTTCATTTCTAAGTATGGCACTTTGAGTTTGTCAGCTCTTATTCCTCTTATTATTCTTCTACCTGGTTTAAGCATGGGGTCTCTAATTTTTTAATTAAATTTAAATTTAAATTAGTTTTTAGCCAGGAATTGCAGACAACCAAGTGAATGAATGACTAGCATGGTTAGGTAGTGATGTTTGTGTTATTTACTTTGGTATTGGATTCAGTTTACTTTACGCTGCACCCACATTTCAACATACTGCAGATTTCTGTGTTGTAAAAACATAGCTGCATCTAAGAGACTACCAGTGAAAGATGGGTATTTTTGTCATCTGGATGGGGCAGAGGGGCACTGGGAGTTTCTGCTTTCTGGAGAAGTGTGGGAGGCTGGCAGTTTCATTTTGTTTAAATATTTAGTGCCTGCAAAGTAGTTCAGAGTATTGGTCTGAAGATAAAGGCATCGTCATTTGTACCCCTCTCCTGGAGAAGGGGAGTACATGCTGTTTTGGCAGCATTGGATGGTTCTTGGTGTGTTCCTTTAAATCTCCAGCTTCTTCAGCCTCTCTGGTCTGCTACATACCACCAGATAAGCATAGCAGTAGAATGGAGCTAGCTTAAAGGATCAGCAGTGGAACCTCACTCTGACCTGGCATTACTTGGGTTAATATTTCTGCTGAGGACCAGGGGACATTTGGACTCAGTGGCTTCTTCAGCCACTGAGATCTACATATGGTCCCTGCATACAGAATGTGTATGAAAGGTTTTCTTCATGACCAAATGAGCAGGGTACTGTAAAAATGTCCTTAAAAATATTCTAATTTTACGTTACTGGGATGAATCCAGCTGTGAGACAACAGCAGGTCTTATGGCACTGGAGAAATGGGAAGGGCCTGTGTGTATGTGAACTTGGGGAAGCTGAAGGCACCTGACCAAAGCCCTGGAAGAGCTCCAGGGTGGTGACAAGTGATCACTGTCTAAGACAAGGAGGTGCATTCTCAACCAGGTAGGACCAGAACCCTCAGGGAGTGCTGCTGGTGCTGCAGCAGAGGGTTCATGTGCTGAAGGCGGTTTAGAAGCTGTTTTTCCAAGCTGCCCTGGCAAGAAGTTAAATTCTGGTGAAGAGCTGCAGGGTACAGATGCTTTGCTTAGCACAGACCTGGAGGGCAGAGAACTGAGTTTTCTGGGCAAGGAGGAGTGCAGAACAGCATCGCCATGACAGTACAGAGGAGTGCAGTCACTTCACAGTTTACATGTTTCCTCCCAGAGACATCTGCTCCTTCTGTGAGCTTGCACTCTATGCCACCTTCACATCCATGGCACTGCATGTCACAGCCACATCCTTTCCTCTGGGGAGGAACCATGTCCTACCCATGTACTGTTTCTTTCTCTGTTGTGGCTCTTCAGGGTGTGTGTCTCATTGATGCCTATAAAATGGTAATTAGCATTTTCCCTGTCCTCCAGATCATCCAGGGCATGCTGGTTTTATCTGTTTGTGGGTTTTGTGGTTAGGTTTTTTTTCCCTTCCCACCCACTGGAATTTCTTTTCCTCCAAAGTACCTCTGGGTCCTGCCTTCTCCATCACTCCCTTTTCTTTTCCCCTTCACTAATAAGGGAGTATGGATGAAGGTGTGGAGCAACCTCTCTGCTCTTTGAATATCCTGCAACTTCATGTGCTTCTTTACTCCGGTCACCCATTTTACACCCTGCTTCTGTGGTTAGCTTTTTTTTTTTTTAATCCTGTCACACCTCCCATTCCACATCATCACTCTCTGGTGGAGGCAGTAGCTGGAGGAACCACACCTAGTGTGGTACATTTACTTTGCTGACTCACTCGCACACTGGGAAGCAGGACTTAAATTAGTGGGTGAGCTGGGTCCAAAGTGGCTGTTAGAGACAGGGCAGAGCACCTCTTGTCCCTGGCGTCCCTGCTTTGTCCAGATTTAAATCTTCTCTTGGTTACTTGGGAGGGAAGGTTGACAGGTCACTTGAGAGCATAAAGTGTGGTGTGAAGTAAGGAGGGAGCACCCCTGTGGGACAGGACTGAGAGGAGTAGAAATAGTCTGTGCCTTAGTGCCACGAACATGAGGAAATGCTTCTTTCACCCTCTTCTCAGCAACCTGGATTTCCAGATTACTTTAAAGCCATAGGAAAAACTTCCAGGAGAAGGAGTGTTGCACAGTGGGTGATGAGTAGAAGGTGGGTCTTGCTCCTGCAGCAGCCTACAACAACATTCTGCTAATCCTGGATTGGGGCTGAACGGGTGTCATGGTGGGGGGCCGCAGTGTGCCAGGGCCTTCCCTCTAGTACTCAGTCCATACCATGTTGAACACTTCAGATGTTCTTCTGAGCTGTTTGTGACAAGAGACAGGATCGGAGGAAATGGCCTCAAGTTGTGCCAAGGAAGGTTTAGGCTGGATGTTCGGGAAAACTTCTTCACTGAAAAGGTTGTTAAGCCCTGGAACAGGCTGCCCAGGGAAGTGGTGGAGTCACCATCCCTGGATGTGTTTAGAAGTCATGTAGATGTGGTGCTCAGGGACATGGTTTAGCAGTGGACTTGGTAACGTTAGGTAATGGTTGGACTTGATGAACTTAAAGGTCTTTTCCAACCTAAGCAGTTCTATGATTCTGTGTCTTCCATCACTTTTCTACTGACTGGCCACATGATGTTGTTGCAAGAGTGCTTTGTAAGCAGCTGGACCTGTCTTGCTGTTTGGCACCACTGGAAGACATGGTCCTGCTCCTGCTGCTCTTGCTTCTGTTTTGAGGAGATGGGTATTTGATCCCTCAATGAGAGAATTTGACTACTTGGATTTCCTGCCGTGTTTGTCTGCTGCCAGTTCAGCAGCAGAGTCCTGCCACAGAGGGAAGAAGAGGGAATGTGGAGGCAGGAGGGGAAGGTCCCAGTTGCCACCTGACATGGAGCACACTTTGCTTTCTCCTTGATTGTTTAAAAATGTAGCAGCTGTCCTGTTGAAGGCTACCTAGGACTCTTCCAGGGATAACTCAAGGTAGCAATATTTCAATAGATCAGTACATGAGGGGATGGAGAATTAGAAATTGAGAAGGGTGCTCTGAATATCGTGAGACTTGCTCCAGAATTTGCCCAATCTCACAGTCCCATGATGTGATCCCTGCAGGGACCTCTCTGGAGGGAGACTGGTGCTTTTGTGAGTCAAACTGGCCACCTGTATGGGGAAGCTGAATGGAGTGGGTTTGCTTCATGTTTCAAAGCAAGGGTTTCCCTTTCACACAGTGTGCTCTAGAAGGAGCCTGCCATCTGTTTGGAGAAAAGCTGCTTTTCCCAAGCCCCTCCAGCACTTTAAGCTGTTTGTATTCACCTCAGATGTGTTTTGAAGCACTGACATACAACTAACTGTCCCTTCTGGGTCTATTTCTACTGCAGGATCTGGGATTATGACATCTTCACACCCCATCACAGCCAGCACGCCTGAGGGAAGCAGCTATGGTGCTATTGGTACAGTATCTTCCAGAACTGGGGGCACAGGGAAAGTTCTGCCTGGGGCAGGGCAAGACACTTTAAGGTGCTTTAAAGCCAGGAGGGAATAAAGCTGTGAATTGTCTTAGGAGCAGCTTGCAACTAATTGAAAAAAATAAAAAAAATATTGCTACTTGGGAGGTTCAGGTTGCACTTCAGGGCAAAACTTCTACATCTGAAAGGTGGCAAACCTCTGGAAGAGGTGCCCAGAGAGACACTGTCATTTGAAATGTTAGTCTCAGCTAGACAAAACCAGTCACCTGACAAGCATTGGTGACAGTGCTGCTTCAGGCAGGAGGTTGACTAGAGGCTGACAGAGGTCCCTCCAACCAGGCTTCTAGGAGTCTGCCTTTAGACCAAAGCATACCTTTTGTGCTGAAGGGTTGTGTGCTGCAAGACAAGACAAAACCAGAGATTCTCGTGGTTCAGAGGTTTCATTAGGGGAGAAAGTGTCATGCTGTCAACAGGGGACTCATGTCCTGGCAGCAGGGGAGGAAAAAAAAAAACCCTCCCAAGTGTCCTGCTCTCTGATATGGTGGGAAATGTCTTCCTTTGCCAGGGTATTTCTTAGTCTCCTTACAACAGTTTCCCCGTCCTGTAAAGGGTTTGATATTGAATAGTTCAGTGCTGTGAACTTTTGGACATAATCCTTGAATTTGACAACTTGACAACCATGTTTGCAGGGTGAGGTGATGCAGGTCCAGGGCAGTGTGAGGCAGCTGCTCAGATGAGAGAGTACCTCTCTAATTTCTGGTCCTTGCTCAGGATGTGTTTGCTCACTGTGATGCAAAAACAACACTGATACTCCCAATGTCACCCAGCTCTTGGACTGTGAATGTGTGTTGTTTCTGAACTCCTGACAGAGAAACGCAGAACTGGTATTTCGTGAGGTTTGGGAAAAATTTGGGAGGACTTAAGTCCTGAAATAGAGTTGAGGGCTTTAGCACTACCCAACTTTCCTTCTCCAATTCCCAAGGAAATGCTTAAAAAGCATTTGGGATACGAGGAAAAAACTTGTATTCTTTTCATGCCAGTATGGACAACGAGGGCTGGCTTGGCCAGCATGTGGGAAGTGCAGGCAGGTGAGTGGTACTATGGATGCAATGGGAGCAGAGCTGATGCTCTGCCTGCTTTGAAGACTCAACTTTTTTCCTTTTTTGTCGTTTGTTCTACAAAATTATCAGAAAAGCTTATCTGTAAAACTTACATAAAATCTGGAGATTAACTAGGTCAGCCTGTTTCTGACCCCTGAATAGTCTGCTGCTTTCACTAGGGCTTTCTGGCTTGTCTCAGACTTCCAGATTTCAGAGCCCAGCCTAGTAAAGAGTAGAAAATGTTAGAGATTAAATGTAAGAGAATAAAAGAAGAGGAAAAGCCAAAACGCTGCAGAAGGGGGAAGTGCTCTTAGCTTGTAACCTGAGACTTTTGGGAAGGTTTGTGATTATGGAAAAACTTGTTCCCTGAAATGGCCATATTGATTTCCTTCTCCCAGCAGAATGCAACTGGTATCTGGGGCAGCTTTCTTCTTGCTGTCTATAGTGGGGATTTAGCCTTTACCTTGTTTCCTTCTCCCTGCTCTGCTCCAGATGAGTCAAGCTCCAGTGGTGGACGTCAGCTGTCCTCCCCTGGCCGTGGGCCAGCAGCTGGTTCTGACACAGACAGCTCTGTGGAGGAGGAGAGCGACTTCGATACCATGCCGGAAATCGAGAGCGATAAGAACGTCATCCGCACTAAGGTTCGGCGGGGCCGGGGCTGTGGGGCTGGGCCATGGGCACGGCTGGGCCAGGACCTGCACGGGTCACTTGCCAGGAATATAAGTCTCCACTTCACTTTTAGGTGAATTTAATAAAGCCAAATGTGCTTCTTGGTGTTCTTCTCAGAGTCTAGAAAGTGTTTCTGCTGTGCTAGTGTGCTGCTAGAATGAGTGATTTAGTATGGAAAACCAGAATGTATTGAGGACTGTTGAGAAAGCAGAAAGAAGTGTCCCAGAAAGTCTGAAGAAGTGCAACAGCATAGGGAGAAAATAATATGCAGTAGTAGGCAATTACCTGGTACGAGTAGTGTGACTACAGTGGATATACAGAAAGGCTTTCAGATAGCTCTCAGACTGCCTCCTCTTGTCACCCTGCACTGCTCTGTGTGATTAAAGATATTTCTGGAGGTCGGAGAGTTTTGCAGAATTATTTCCCATAGGATGAATCCCAAGGGACACAACAAACTCCCTGTGTAAAAACAGTCTAAATAGCACCAAGCTGCATGTTGTCCAAATACGTTGAGATCTACTGGCTTCTGTAGTCTTCATTAGTTCTTTTCTGTTTTATTATTCCCCATTTCCCAACCCACTACTGTTTTAGGTGTTCCTCTATCTGTCAGACTTGTCCAGGAAGGACCGAAGGATTGTCAGCAAAAAATACAAAATCTATTTCTGGTAAGGAGAAGACAAACTGGTAAGGCACAAGCTCTAGACCCCGTCCCTGGTTGTGGAGTCTTGTCTACGTGCCCTTCTGAGCTATGCTTCTAAACCCCAGTGTGTCCTTTGAGCCATCCTGTTACACATTCTGACCCTGTTCCTACCAGTGACTGCAGATGCCACATACCTCAAATGTGGATATTTGTGGGCCAGTGCACACGTGAACCTGACAGTGGATTCTGGTTTGCATAATTGGTTTGAAGTGTGGTAACAACTGGTGTGCTGGAACATACTGGGGAAAGAGGGAAATTGGCACTCCAACACAAGAATTTGTGGTGCACATCCTGGCTTTTCTTGTGCCCTTAGCATTTGCCTTCTGTTTGCCTTAGCGCGTTTCCTCTTCTATTTCAGGAGATCATAACCAGAGATAGAAAGCTCCAGCTGGGAGAGCAGGCTCTGAACCCTTAGGCACTGAGGTGTACATGCTCCTCCTAAAGCACTGTGGGGCTCTGTTCTGGGTGTGCACCACTTATTTTGGTGTGTGTAACTGCTGCTCCTGTCTCCTCTCTGCAGGAACATCATCACCATTGCAGTGTTTTACGCCCTGCCAGTCATCCAGCTCGTCATCACCTACCAGACGGTGCGTTGGGCTCTGTGCCTGCCCCTGGTGCTTGGGTCCTCTTGCCTTTAAACTTGCACTGCGGGTGCATGGTGTAAGGATGACAGTTGCAGTGAAACGGGTATCACTCAGATTTCCTGCCCTCTGTCTGAGGGGCATTTTACCTTGGCACCATGTGTTGTGTTGCTGCTGGCTTGGCTCACTGAGCTTGCAGTTCTGCTATTTTGGCTTGGAAATAAGGAGTGCAGCTGTTTTCCTGCTCATCTGATGTCTCATTTGGGACCTGTTTCATTTTAGAGGCAGGAGGCATCTACTGTTATCTCTAAAATACAACTGAAAGCAAGTAGAGTTTGCTGTGATACGAGTGATTTCTCCTCCCTTCTCCCACCCTTGCTATCCTGCTGTTACTTGGTGGGTTTGAGAGCACACAGTGTGTTTCCTCTGAAGACTGTTGTCAGGTTTGTGGCCTGTGGCAACACCTTGTCTCCTCCTAAAAGCTTTGCTTGCTGATGTCAGTACTGCCATGTGCCAGTGCTAGAGCTAGGCTGCGTCCTGGTACACCTTGTGTACATGCAGTGTTTGTGCAAAGCAAACCCCCAGAACAAGGAGGATTTGCTGGTCTCTGATCTCCCACCTCCACGCTGTCCAGGTCGTGAACGTGACGGGCAATCAGGACATCTGCTACTACAACTTCCTGTGCGCTCACCCCCTTGGGGTGCTGAGGTGGGTGGGTGACCCTGTGGTCACTGCATTATTGTCTTGTGCCTCCTGAGTGTCCGTGCTGTGCCCAGGTCAGGATTTTATCCTTGCCAGGCTCACCGTAACTGTGTTAATAGGACCACTGAGAGCTCAGGACTCTGAGCATTGTGTTTTGCTTGGGAGCAGCTTTCTGTTGCAGTCAGACCCATGCACCTAGGAACATATGGCACCTGGGTTCCCCAGCAAACCAACAGCAGAGCAATGAGGTGCTGCTGTGCTCTTTTGGACACTTCCACTTGTATCCAAGGAGCAGCAGCCCTGCAAAGTTGTTCAGATCGGTCATTTCAGTGTAGCATTTTTCTGAACAAATGTGGGAGTGCAAAGAAAGCCCAGAGTTGGGAATCTTGCAGAGGAAGTCTTAAATCTACTAGGGCAGATGAACTACCCAGCTTAAAATTGTCATCCAGGGTGATGGCAGATGTCTGGCAGCTGCTGAGGGTGGAGGATGGTGTGGGGGGAGCAAAATGGATTTGGCTTATTGTGGCCCAGGGTTCAGCTTCCTGCTGCTGTGTTGCCTTTGTCTTAAACCTCCTTTTTCCCTGCAGTGCCTTCAACAACGTCCTCAGCAATGTGGGCCACATGCTGCTGGGCTTTCTCTTCCTCCTCATTGTGTTGCGCAGGGACATTCTCCACCGTCGGGCCATGGAGATGAAAGATGTCTATACTCTGGTAGGAAGCATGGTTGCATGGAGCTGAGGGAGGAAAGACAAGGAGAACTTGAAAACCAGAGTGGGTTTCCATTTGCCTGCCTTGATGGAAAATTGAGTCTTTCTCTCTTTTCCTACTCTGAAAAAGGGTCTGGGTGGGACGCTTATGTTCTTGCACACCCAAGTACTTTGCTGCTTCCAGTATGTCCATACTGCCATAGTGACCCAGCCTGGGCTTGTGAAGACGAGTAGAGGAAGGACCCTCATGGCTGTGGCTTGTCCTCCAGTGCTCACTGTGGAGTAACTGGGACGGTAGGAGTGCCCCAGGATGCTCTCGTTTTTAGCGAGATTTGATTTGTCTTATACAGTCAAGAGCTCCTTCCTGCCTTTCTTGTTAGCAAGAGGGAATAGAGCTGCTTGTGATAAGTCAGAGGAGTTTGGCTGTCTCTAGCTCTGAAACAGAGCTGCTGTAGTCAGAGCTTCTTCAGTCTCTTCAATATCTTCTGGGAGAGGATGGAGAAATCTGCAGCCCTGTGGACAGTGGTACTGGTGGTTTCTGGAGTCAAACAGTTGTTTTCACTGGCCTGGTAGTAAGTAAATGTCTCACCAGATGTAAGGGTCTGCTGCTTATGGTTTTCAGAAGAGATAGCCAGATTGTAATGGAGACATCTTCTCACTTGGGCTGATGGGCTCTGCTCCTCAGGTGCTTTTAACCCCCTGCTGACTACAAGAGGAAGGCTGCTATTCTGGGTCCCCAGTGCTTTCTCAGTTTTGGGCAGGATGTAGCATGGCACAAGGTACAGGACACAGATTTTTAGTCGTAAGATGTGAGTACCAAGACAATGAGGTCTTCAGACCAGAAGTTTCTTTGTGATTAGCTTGGTTTGCTGCCTGGCTATGCAGTGTGGCTAAAGGCAGAGCCTATGTGCAGCACTGTCCTGCACTGGTGACTGAGGGACATGCATGGAGGTTAGGAGGGATGAAGTGGTGGAGAGTGGAAGCTCACTTGTCATCAGGACAGTGAGGGTACTTATTATACAGCTTTGCTCTCTTCCAGGACTATGGGATCCCAAAGCATTTTGGTCTCTTCTATGCTATGGGCATCGCTCTGATGATGGAAGGGGTGCTCAGTGCCTGTTACCATGTCTGCCCTAATTACTCCAACTTCCAGTTTGGTAAGCTGAGCTGCTTATCTCCATTTGAACTGGAGGCAGGATTTGCCATGCTGTCTCCTAGTGAGTTGCTGGCATTTCCCATTCCTCTACCCTTGCAAACCTCCCTGGAGTCTGCCTGTCCCAAGGCCCAGTCAGTGAGGAGGCAGTGAGGCTTTGGATGCTGAGGACTGATGCATTTCAGCCCTCTCTCCAGACACTGGGGCTCTGGCAGGGTGCTGCTGGCAAGATCTGCCTTTACTTTTGCAGCTCAGTGTTTGAAGATAGTAAGTGCACACTGCCTGAGTGGCAGAGTGCTCAAGCCTAGGAAGCCTCTGCCTGCCATTTCAGTGGAAACTTTCCTCTGTGGGCTCCTTCATCTCCCTGGGGAAGAGAAGACTCAGGTGGGATCTTGTCCATGTGCTCAAATACCTGATGAGATGGAATGAAGATGAGTGAGCCAAGCTCATCTCACTGGTTCACAGTCACAGAACAAAAGGCAATGGGCACAAATTAAAACACAGGAAGCTATCTGAATGCAAAGACTTTTTGTTTTAGTTTCCTTTGAGAGTGGTCAAAACCTGAACAGGTTGCCCAAAGAGATTGTGAAGTCTTCTGTGGAGATATTCAAAATGAGTAGACACAGCCCTGAACAGCCCTCTAATAGCTCACCCTGCTTGAGCAGGGGATGGTGGACCAGACCACCTTCAGAGGTCCATTCTAAGCTCAACCATTCTGTGATTCTTGCTGTTCTGTTCTGCACTGTGGTCTCTTATGTTCCAAGCCCCTTTAGTTTCTGTTGCCCCCGGGCACGGCAGATGTGCTGCAAGGTGGCAGAGCAGGGAGAGCTGCACAGCACAGAGCAGCATCAGGGGTCTGTGCCTGCCAGCCTTGGCTTCGGCCTCGCTGCTGCGCTCTCACATGCACTTGGAGCAGCCTTCTCAGCCTGCTGGCAGTACTTTGTTTTCACTGTTTGTGTTGTGCTCCCTCCACAGACACCTCCTTCATGTACATGATTGCAGGACTGTGCATGCTCAAGCTCTACCAGACCCGCCACCCAGACATCAACGCCAGCGCCTACTCTGCCTACGCCTCCTTTGCTGTGGTGATCTCTCTGGCTGTCCTTGGAGTGGTATGGCTCCTTCCTACCTACCTACCTGCTTCTCTGGGAAGGAGGTGGCGTGGCTGGGAACAGGGCTTAAAAGGGCAAATGGCTGGGGCAAGCAGTAGGGTAGGATAAGAATGTGTTAAGCAACTGCTAGCATTTGGATTCCCAGTGCTCTTGGGTTTTCCTCCTCCCTTCCCTTGGGCTTGCATTGAGGGGAAGAGCAGAGCAGTTTTCTCTAGGTGGGCTCCTTTTTGGGCTTTGCCCACCACATGCCTTCCTTCTCAAGAAGAGAAATTAATGCAGCTGGTCTCCTGTGGGGTGCCCTCCCCCCACCAGGGGAGGCTGGTTGAGCTTCAAAGACAAGTGTACTCTACCTAATTGCTTCTGCCTCTTTCTCCCCTTTGGAAAACTGTTGTTGTTGAGCACACCTCCTGCAGTTGGCCTTCCTATCTTTGGAGAGATGCAGGGGCTAGCATAATGACTGGGGCGATCCCAGGCAAGTTTCTGGAGCACCTGCCTAGAGATGACCACTGGAGCAGGAGTCACCAGAGTAGCTCTTGTGCACCAGTAGTCACTCAGGCTGGTACAGGGCTTTGACTGTTTGCTCACCGAATTGCAAGTGCTGAGCTGGGCTTGCCTGGATTCCCAACCTGTGTTTTGCTTTGGAGGTTTATGCATCCCTCCTTTTGAAGAACTTGCTTTCATTCAGCTGTAACCAGGCAAAATCCATTGAATTTTCGCTCTTAAGTAGCAGCTAGATCCCCACAGGCTGTCAGCTCCTCGTTACCACAGATAGTGCAGAATGCCAATTGATTCTGCAGAGGTCTCTGGGTAGGATGCTCTCTGTGGGGTAAAGTATGCAGGAGCAGCTGGTGACCTTGGGAGCATTTCCCTGCAGAGCACTTCTGTCTTTTTTAATTTACTGCAGTGCACTTGTTAAAGTACTGGTTGGTTCCCTGGCTGCCTTTGTAAAAATCCAGCTCCTGTCCAGAGAGCTGCTGCCCAGCTCAGCAGGGAGAGCTTACCTGGCCTGGGAGCCCCTGCATTTCTGTTCCCTGGGCCAGCTGCTGTCCTCTCAAACTGCCATTCTTGTCTGAAGGGGTGTTCAGAAAGAATGGTCTCCTCTCCAGAATGCTGAGCTCCTTGTGCTTCTCTGGACTTCATTTTAGATTTATAGACCTGTTTTCAGGTTGGAAGATTTAAGAGGTGCTCTTCCACATTCAGTGAGGTTATCTAATGCCCCATGGTGATATGGGTCAGGAAAGGATTAACCTCATGATAACAGGCCTCCATTTCCTTTTATTATTTATCTCTCTTCTTTCAGGTGTTTGGGAAGAATGACATGTGGTTTTGGGTCGTTTTCTCAGTGATTCATGTTTTGGCCTCACTGGCTCTAAGCACCCAGATCTACTACATGGGCCGCTTCAAGATTGGTAAGTGCTGCCTTGATCTAGGGTGTGCAGTGCCTCCTGTCCTCACCTGTGTGAGTGGCCCATGCAGTGCATCTGAGTACAGTCCTGTGGCCTGTGCTCATCTTCTGGGTTATCCTGTCCTCTCCTCCATCCATCTGATGCTCTTCCTGACCTCTGAAGTCCTCAGGCTGCTGCTTCCCAGACACATGGGGGCCAGCAGGGCCTGCCTGCTGGGTGGTGGCAGAAGAGCTGGGCTGCAGGGAAGCCTGTCCTTCAGCCACAGCTCTCCCTAGCGCAGTGCTGAGCACAGCACAGGAAACCCCAACATGGGGCGAAGGGGTAGAGGGTCTGGTGGGGAACATGGCTCTTGTGCTCTGCTTACAAACATATTTCTCCTTCCTCTTCTGCTCCTACCTGCCCCAGATGGCCCAGACTCAGGTAACTGTCAGCAGCTGTCATTCCTCTGTGTTGAACTGATTGAGCAGCGTGTGGCGGGGGATGCATGGATGGGGTGGGGCAGGCTGCAGGGGGATAGCTCTGGAGAAGGGAACTCAGTTTGGCAGCAGCATTGTCAGTCCCCTTCCTTGGCAGGAAGGGGTGATACAGCACAGGAGAGCTCTGATCTCAGTGCAGGAGACTTGTCAAGCTCCCTGTTTGTTGCTGAAGAGGGATGTGTCTGTGCATGCATGTCTGTCCACCTGCAGTGCCACTGATGGATCTCCAGTGAAGCTTCTGCAGTGATTTTGAGAGCAGGAGTGCCTTGAGTGTGCTCTGCCCTCTAGGACCCTCTAAGGTCTGCAGGATCCGGTTCTGCTCTCTCCCTGCTCTGGCACCTTGTTCCATGGGAGGTGCTTTTCCCCTTCCTCTGCACACACCTCTTCCAGAAATGTGGTTGCAAAACCAGCCTTTTTATTCATACATACAGGACCTATTTTACTTCTAGGCGGTGCGAGTGTTGAGATTTTAAAAATGTTATTATTTTGTTTTTAACCTGTTGCTCTGGCCAAACGCCATCCACGTCCTGTGGTGGCTGCCCTTCTGCTCAGCACAGACTGCTCCCAAAGGGCAAGAAATCAATCTGTTCACACCCTGACCATCTGTAGGCTGGGTCCTGTCAGCCAGAGGGTGTCCATGTCTTTACCCATAGGCTTTTTGGATCTTACTCTGCTGGCTGTTCTGGCTTTTTATCCTTTTCTTTGACAGACTTGGGGATATTTCGTCGGGCAGCGATGGTGCTGTACACAGACTGTATCCAGCAGTGCAGTCGACCAATGTACATGGTAGGTGATCTCTCATCTCAGCACCTCTCTCAGCAATCCCTCACTTTTTAGGCAATGTGCAGAGGAAGGAGCTGTGGCTATTTGAAAAAGCAATGTTCCCTGCTTCCCTTCTTTTCCCTCCCCCAAAATCTTTAGGTAAGTGTAGACCTCTGCTGGAATGGTTTACCCCTGCCTCCAGGCCCCACCAGATCTCGGGAGTGGTGAATAAAACATCAGAGCAAAGGTTATACAAGCATGATAGGATTTGCCTTTGCTCTTGCTCCCTGGGGGAATCTGTTCAAAGGGACAGGTACAAATCTCTGTGCAGCAGACTCTGTGGGCAAGGCAGCAAATATTGTGGCTCTGTGACTTAAACACCAGTGATTGCTGTTTCTGCAGCACCTCAGGGCAGACACTAAAAGAGTAAGAAATGGTCCCTGCTACCTTGTGTCCCACCAATTACTTTTTTCTTGGCACAGGGTGCTGATTAGGGCTTGAAGCCAAATGAAGTTTTTATCCATGATCATTCTTTTTATTTTTATATCTATAAAAAGAATGTATAACATATAAATAGAGTATAAAAAAATACATATATACATACATATACAAAATTATTCTCCTATCTCTGAATAAGTGTCAGGCCAAGTTTTCCAACCAAACTTGGGGCACTCAGGCATAAAATAAGCCTGGGTTAGGGTTAACCCTAAGCCTGGCCAGCTTGGAATACCTGTGTCATGTAATGAGCTGTAAGTGTAAATGCACGTGCCCCCCAGAGGTAACCCTTCTGCCCACTCTAGTTACTGTGCTGCCCCAGCTAATGCTGAAGTGGATGAAAAAAGCTCTGTGGATTCCTGTGGGATGCTATCCAAAGCTTCCCCTGCTGCCTTTTTCAAGCATATCCTTGCTTTGTGCAATGTTTTTTTTTATGTAAAATGGTGGGAGGGAAGGAATCTATCTAGAAAACCAGTGGAAACAGTCAAAGGATTTGCCAGACATTCTGAGGCTGATCCCTAAGTGCTGGGATTACCCTTTTTTAGATGTTTAGTCTCCTTCTTGCAACACTTTGTTCAAACTTGTGAGGACCAGAGTAGTTTCCATCTGGCAAAAGCTCCTGCAGAGCAAACTTCAGAGCCAGGTGCATGTGTTTGTAGGAACCAGGCTCCAAATCCCCACATAATGATATCCTGAATTTCTGGGGCAGAGGCCTCCTTTTGCATTTCCTTCTGTTTTCATGTGAACATCAGTGTCTTCTCTTCAGGACAGGATGGTGCTGCTCATTGTTGGAAACCTGGTCAACTGGTCCTTGTGAGTAGTGGGGTGTGGGTGTCTTGTGTTACCTGTGCACGTGTGGCCAGCGTGAGTCAGTGCTGACACACAGGTGGCCTGAAGGGAGGAGGAAACAGCAGTGTTGGTGCAGTAATCCTGTGCTGGGGCCCTTCTGACATGTTTTGGCAGAGGGGTTTGGACTGATGAGCACTGGTGGTAGGCAGACCTGTAGTGCAGTGCAGCACCACAGAGCTGGGTGAGGGATCCCTCAGTGTTTCAGCTGGTGCTGTCTCAGGGCTCACATCTGAGCAAACTTCTGTGGAGCTGCCCTGGTACCATGGGGCTGCGTTGTGCTGTGATGTGCTCTCCACAGAGCTGGGAGGTCCCTGGCATGGCCAAGGTGCAGGAGACTTGAGAGATGCTCGTTAGTCACAGAGTCTGCCCCAGAGGTAACTGCATGGATGGAGGGATCAGCTCTTAGATGAGACCTGAAATTATTGCACCCAGCTCTTGCTTAGCCCTAAAGCTGCATCTTGGGGACATGCCTTCTGCTAAAATTACAGATATGCAGCCAACTCTTCCCAAGCCAGATGTTTGGCAGTGGGTTGGAAGCAACCCAGGGCTCTTGCCTGTCCTTTGGGGTCTCCAGTTTCCCTCAGCAGCTGACCATGGCCAAGTTTGCTCTGCTTAGCTTCTCAGCAGGGAGCAGAGGCAAACGGTGCATTTCCTCCAGGGAACTTGGAGGCTGTGGTGGTGTTGCTGTGTCCTGTGGTCTGAGGGGAGCAGCAGGTAGCTGTCGGTTCAGGTATCTACCCTGTGCCCAGTGAACAAGGCTGTCTAATTCCCATTCTCTTTTAGTGCTATTTTTGGGCTGGTGTATCGGCCCAGAGACTTCGCCTCCTACATACTGGGGATCTTTATCTGTAACCTGTTGCTGTATCTGGCTTTCTACATCATCATGAAGGTAACAGCAGGGAGCTGTAGCTGTCCCTGGGGCACCTGTCTCCAAAGGGGGAGGGGTGGGCCTCTTTTCTGGCTGCAGTTTGGCCTTGTGTGGTGCTGCAGAGGGATGTGGAGGGGCCTCTGTGGGGCTCAGGGTGGGACAAGGTGTTTGTGTTGGGGAGGGATGCTTTATAGTCATCTCAGGGGTGGCTGGGCTGTGTCTCCCTAGGGCAGGACACCACACCAGCTGGTCTAGGCTGGAGTCAGCCCTGTGCATGGCTATGGTGTCTGGGAAGAACCTGGGACATGTTGTGAGGCTGTGTCCCTGTCTGCAGCTCCGCAGCTCTGAGAGGCTCCTGCCCATCCCCCTGTTCTGCATCGTGTCCACGGCTGTGGTGTGGGCAGCTGCCCTCTACTTCTTCTTCCAGACCCTCAGCAGCTGGGAGGTAAAGTTGCCCTTTCACTGTCCTTCTGCCCATCTCTTCTCTCATAATCTTTCCTTCCTGCTGTTCATTTTACACAAAAAAACCCCAAAACTCTTCCCCAGAGTCTTGGGCTGCTCGTGGAGAGGTGAAATGGTTTAACTCCTTCAGCAGACTGGGAAGGGAGCATGGGGAACTGTGCTAAGCCAGAAGTGGCCGTATGCATCCAGGTGTGGAGAGTCTGTTTGTAATCCAGATGATCTGGAAGTGCCTGGCGCTCACTAGGGAACAGAGTGGGAGCTGGGGATCTGAATGCAAAAGCTGGATGGAAAACTTCACTGGAGCAGATGGCCAATGGGGAATAACTTACTGGGGGTTATGGGGGTTCTCTGTGGCCTGGGAGACTCTTAGATCCTGACTCCTAACAAGATGCCATGGAGGTGGGGGGCTTGCTGCAGGCTACTATGTTGGAGGCTGTGCAGCTTGTGCTATGTGGGATCTCGGATGTGGAGATCAGAGGGTTCCCCCATAAAGGGGTTGTGGCCCCAGATCCATCTCTAGGTCTCAGTACGACATTGCATTCCTGCACTGCTCTCACCATGTGTCTGGCCACCACAAAGCTTTTTTTCTGGCCCCTACGTGGAGGATTCAGATAGGGTGAACTCCAGAGGGTCCAGTGTGGCCAGCAAGGGCCCTGTGTCAGTGGATATCAGGCCCTGACCCCCTGCCCACTCCCCTAGGAGACTCCAGCAGAGTCCCGGGAGAAGAACCGGCCGTGCATCCTGCTGGGCTTCTTTGATGACCATGATGTCTGGCACTTCCTCTCCGCAGCTGCCTTGTTCTTCTCCTTTCTGGTGAGTCCTGCTGAGCCTCCTGCTCTGCCCTGTACCCTCACCCTCTTTTCTTCCTTCATGTCCCTGTCTATCTGCGTGGAGCTGTGGCTGCCCCAGGGCCCCACAGAAGTGCTCCAACTCCTCTGCTTGGCTCTGCCTCCAGACATCCTTCACAGTGGGATGCTCCTTGTTAGTGGGACTGGGGCTCAGGCCTTATCCTTTGGCTTGTTGCTTCCTGTGCTTCCTGGCCTCAAATTCTTGAGGCTGCTTGTGTGATCAACCCTCTCATGGGTTTATGAGGATCTCACAGGATGGGACTTTGCTTCCTTTGATCCAGGCAATAGGGTTACTGGTATGGAGCTTAGCTCAGTCCTGGGCCTTCCCTCACTTCCACAGTTGATTTCTATGCTACTCTACTTGGTACCTCATTTCAGGCCTGATGGTCTGTGTGGTGGCAAAGGTGGACATGTCCAATGCAGTGGGGTCACGGCACGGTGTCTTGGGGCAGTGGAGTGGGAGACCTTAACCCTAATCCACAATGAGCAAACTGTTTGCATGTGACCAGGCAGCTCATTCACAATATCTGGGCTGTGGTCAAGCAGTCCCCACCCTGCTGCCTCTGGGATGGCTCTTAGAGGCTAGTGGTGAGGGACCAGCTTGCAAGCAGCATCTCCATTGTGGTTGGGGCAGGATTGCCTGCTCAGGTCCCTGCAGCACTGTAGGCAGAGGTACCTGTGTCAGCTGTGCTGCCAGAGTGACTTGCTGGGAGCACAACAGAAACAGAGCTAATCTGGCCCATCTCCATGGGTAGCCGTGTGCATGCTGGAGCTGTGGCTCACGTGGAGCCCCGCTATGATGGGACGCCATCAGGAGCAGAGTCATTCTCCCCGGCCTTGGACTGGCCAGCAAAACCTGAAGCTGCCTTGTGCTTTCCTCCTCAGGTCCTGCTGACCCTGGATGATGACCTGGACACGGTGCTCAGGGACAAGATCCCGGTGTTCTGAGTCCCCGGGGGTGCAGGGGTGTCCCAAGCCGC